CCATCCCATACAAAAGCGTCTGGCTAAGCTGAATGGCTCTCAGTGCGGCTTTTGCTCGTGCGGCATGGTAATGAATATGTACGGCTTGCTGGAGTCCAAAGGCGGCCGCGTTACCATGGCAGAAGTGGAGAATTCGTTTGGCGGTAATATTTGTCGTTGCACCGGCTATCGACCCATCTTGGATGCCATGAAATCGTTCGCCATTGACAGCAATATTGAATTACCTGACGACGATTGCGGCGACATTGAAGATTTCGAATTCGTTACTTGCCCTATGACGGGTAGACAGTGTTTAGGCAGCTGTCATCAACAGCTCACAAATTTGGCTTATCCGGATGGCACACAATGGTATTGGCCACGTACGCTTGCGGAGGTCTTCAAAGCTTTGGGCCAAGTAGGCAACGATCAGTATATGCTGGTGGCGGGCAATACAGCGCACGGCGTCTACAGACGATCGCCAGACATTAGACATTTCATCGATTTGCACGCCATACCCGAGCTGAAGCAGCATTCTATTGTAGGCGAGAGGCTCACACTTGGCGCCAACTTGAGTCTAACTGAGGCGATGGAGGTTTTCGAAAAAATTGAGCAACGACCTGGCTTTGAGTATTGCCAACAGTTGCGAGAACATTTTGATTGGATCGCGAACGTTCCAGTGCGCAATGTGAGTAAATTTTCCCAACTTAATCACTTTCACTATAATTTTATATACGAAAAAATCACAGGCTGGCACGCTGGCGGGTAACATCAGCATTAAAAAGGCGCATCCGGAGTTCCCATCAGACGTGTTTCTCTCATTCGAGGCACTCAATGTGCAGATTATTGTCCAGGAACTTGCGGCACAGCAGAAGAGCATGCCGCTGCTGAAATACCTCAGATTACCTCCCAGAAAGGCGGTCATTATTGCTTTTGAACTGAGAGCCTATCCGAAAGGCAGATTTGTTTATCACTCATACAAAGTAAGTACGCCACTTCCTCATCTAATTGACGGAGCTTGATTTTAGCATATTTTTCCATAACCAGATCACACCACGCGCCCAGAATGCACACGCCTACGTTAATGGCGCCTTCTTGCTTGACATGGATGTGGCGTCGTGGGGCATTGTTAACTCTGCATGCATTTGCTTCGGTGGCATCAATCCAGATTTCGTGCACGCCACCGCCACTGAGACGCTGCTACCAGGGCAAAATTTATTCGACAAGGAAATTGTAGCAAACATATTCGCAACACTTAACTCGGAGTTACTGCCCAATGACGTGCTACCAGAACCTTCACCGGCCTACCGTAAAGCGCTAGCTTGTGGACTCTTCTATAAGACCTTACTTAAGCTAGCGCCGGCAGATAAAGTAAAAGAGGAGTATAAAAGTGGCGCTGACATTTTGAGGCGACCTCTGTCGTCTGGTATACAAACCTTCGAAACGATTGAGAAAAATTATCCCATCACGCAGCCCGTACAAAAAACCGATGGTTCGTTAGTTTAGGTGTAGCCTTAAATTTTTTTAAAACAGGTAATTGGTATCCACTTTGCTTTTCTTTTCAGCACTGCTCCAGTGCTCCGGTGAGGCAACTTACATGGACGATACTATCACCACTGCCAACGCTGTCTTCTGTGCTTTCGCCAATGCTACTCGAGTCGGTGCGACCATCGAGCAGATCGATGCTTCTGATGCGCTGGCAATGACGGGCGTCATCGCTTTTTACACCGCCAAGGACATTCCTGGCGCCAACACGTTTTGTGACCCCTCATTCCAGTACGAACCGGAAGAGATATTTTGTAGTAATATCGTTAGGTATTACGATCAGCCATTGGGCGTGGTAGTGGCACTCACCAGTGACATAGCCAATCGTGCTGCCGCGAAGGTGAAGGTAATCTACAGCAATCGTCCAACCGGCACTAAAATTCTCCCCACCATTGCGGATGTCTTCGAGGCACAAGCAATGGAGCGTGTCGTGGTAGGATCTCAAACTGCACCCCCTGAAATTCAACTCTCCGATCAGCCAGATATCTCAGCGCGCGGCATTTTCGAAATTGGTGGCCAATACCACTTCACAATGGAACCACAGACCACTATAGCAGTGCCATTCGAGGATGGTCTACAAGTCTGGATCGCCACTCAGTGGATGGATCACGCGCAATGTGTCATCGCCAAAATGTTGCAAATCAATGTGAGTGACGTACAACTAAAGGTGCGTCGAGTCGGTGGCGCGTACGGTGCTAAGATCACACGCGGCAATCAGGTAGCTTGTGCCGCCTCTCTGGCTGCCTACAAACTCAGCCGTCCGGCACGCTTCGTACAGACCATCGAGTCGATGATGAATTCAAATGGCAAGCGTTGGGGTTGTCATTCCGACTATGAGTTCCACATCAAAAACAATGGGAAAATTGTGGGCTTGGTCAATAGGTATTACGAGGATGCAGGCTGCGTATTAAATGAGAATCCTCTCGAAGACCTTACACCTTTAACCGTGAAGAATTGTTACGAACTCAACGACGCCAACTCGAATGTGTCTGGTCAGGCAGTCATCACGGATGCACCCGGTTCGGCATGGTGTCGTGCACCCGGTTCGGTCGAAGGCATCTCGATGATGGAGAACATTATAGAACACATGGCATTTGAGGCGAATATAGATCCAGCTGATGCACGACTCGTCAATATAAAGCAAGGCAATAAAATGGGCGAACTCTTGCCGAGGTTTATAAAATCGACTGAGTATCGCGAGCGTCGAAAAGAAGTGGCACAATTTAATGAGAAGAATCGTTGGAAAAAGCGCGGCCTTGGATTAGCCATTATGGAATTTCCAATCAATCTGGTGGGCCAGTACGCTGCAACTGTCGCCATATACCACGGGGATGGCACGGTGGTGATTGCGCACGGCGGCATAGAGATGGGACAAGGTAAGCGCCTGCTAGCAATTTACTCACTCAACAATTATGCTCTCTTCGGTCTTAGGTATGAACACAAAAATCGCTCAGGTAGCCGCCTATACGCTCGGCATACCGTTATCGTTCGTAAAAATCGAGTACAGCGACACAATTAATGGTGCCAACTCAGAGGTCACCGGCGGTTCACTCGGAAGCGAAAGCCTTTGTTTCGCCGCACGCAAGGCCTGCTATACGCTCAACGAACGCCTGAAGCCCGTCAAAGATGCGCTCGGTGCAAACGCCAGCTGGCCACGAATCGCGCACGAAGCTTGGGTCAGAAATATTAATATGATCGCTAGCGAATATTATAAGGAGGGTGACATGCAGAACTACTTGGTCTATGGCTTAGGACTGACAGAAGTCGAGTTGGACATCTTAACTGGCAATCATTTAATTAGGCGCGTGGATATTCTGGAAGACGCTGGTGAAAGTCTGAGTCCTTACGTTGATGTTGGCCAAGTCGAAGGCGCATTTGTCATGCTACTGGGCTATTGGCTAACCGAGCATTTGGTGTATGACCGGCAAACTGGCCAGTTGTTGACTAATCGCACGTGGAATTACAAACCGCCCGGCGCCAAGGATATACCCATCGATTTTCGCATCGAGCTGCTGCAGAAGAACCCCAACCCAGCTGGATTCATGCGCTCAAAGACTACGGGGGAGCCGCCTGCCTGTATGGCAGTGAGTTCGATTTTCGCCGTGCAGCATGCCCTGCAATCGGCGCGCCAAGACGCTGGACTGCCGCGTGAATGGGTGCGGCTGGGCGCACCAACAACGCCAGAGATAATCGCTTTGAATTCCGGCACTGATACGAGGACATTTTCTTTGGAATAGCCAGTAGATTTAAGTCATTATAGTTATTTTCTACGAGAGCCTTGCTTACGGTATTCTTAGAGGGGTTGGTTTGCTGCATAATCAAGTGTAAATACTCAAATATATATTTAGTTAAATAAAATGCTGAAGAGCGTTTAAGTGGGCGCTGTCTTTAATTACAGCTACTCTACAGACACCTTTCTGCGGCAACGCTGAAGTTTTCCACCACGCAAAATTTAATGCTCAAGCATTGTAGATATTTGGCAGTTCCTTAATTTGATTGCGTCTATGTATTTGTTTTGTATTTTCTTAAAGCCGGGAGTACGATACTTTCACAATGTTTCACCTTTTCCTGTCTACCCTTTGTCCCTTTCCAATTATGTATGTACATATGTATATTGTCATATTGTTAAGTACATACATGTATTCATTCATATGTAAGCACATATATATAACATGCATATGTACTTACATACATATTTTAATAAACATATTAACATACTCAATTAACATACAATACTTATTAACATTAAGATAACATAATTATGTTAAGACTTCAGGAGAGTTAACACTCTCTGCATTGTTTTACTGTTACATACATATATATTAAGTAAGCTAACGTTAATATTTATTACATATATATTATGTAAGAAATAAAGAGTTTAGTTGTAAAGAAACATCGAAGAAGGTGGTTTAATTTCGCAACGTGACTGGCGACGAGGAAAACAATAACAGAAGGAAAAGTTTAATTGGCAAGAGTCAAATAAGCAATCGTCTGCGAACAAAAAAATTTTAATAATTATAATTATAAATTACTAGCAGACCCGGCGAACTTCGTCCCGCCCAAAATTTGTATGTATTTTATTGAAACTTTTTGGTCCAACATTTTCACCAACAATTCACGTTTATGATTTTCATTGGCACATTTGTCTGCTAAGATTAAGGTTTGGTGGTCATTTGCCGCTTTAAATAACCTAAGGAAAGTGTTATATCCGTTCTTGAAATTCTCCAGTTGTGCGGCATTACATAGCACGGTTATTCGCAAAGCGAAATAAATTTTTTCCTCTTCCTTTCCCTGGCGGCAACAATGACCCGGTTCTATAGTGAATGTCCTAGAAGCTTTACAGTATAGTAGGTGGCAATTTCAAAATGGGTGCGAATCATTGTTCTACAGAAATGCAATATACATATACTTATTTCAGACGAAATACCTTAAAAGTTTGAACGCATAATAATATTGGAAAATCACATCCATTGCGCCAATTGCAACGCAGGAGCGTTCGATATACTCAATGGTGCAACAGGTCGATTTAATCTGACCTTCACGGCCTCTTTTCTCACTTGGCTATTTTTAGTAATAGCTCGACTTCAGCACCACTTGGCAGCACGTTTTTGCAATAGTATTGCATACATATGTAAAATGTTAGCCAAATCGGATCATAAATAAGATTTTTAGTAATAACTCAACTACAGCGCCAACTGTCGGATTAAATTGTGAAACTAAACCATCCAGAGACCCACTCAAACACACACAAAATGTTTCGTTAAAATCCGTACAACCATTTAGGAGGAGATCACTCACAAACACACCTACAGAAGAATAAAAAAATTCATTCAAAGATAGCTAAAGGTCGGTACGTTTGTAGGCCTCACACCCCTTTTCAAATAGCCCAAATTTTCTTCATGAGTATGGGCTTGATTTCAACTATATACATATCTCCATACGAAGTTCCAGTACAGTACCATGAATACTTTCAGAGATATGCAGTATAAAAATTCGATTTATATGGAAGGTGCCACGCCCCCGTTTCCAAGAGATGCCCTCTTTCTTCATGAGTATGCGATTGATTTCGTATATCTCCATACCAAGTTCCAGAACTCTACCATGAACACTTCCAAAATAGGCAGTATGAAAAATTCGGTTTGTATGGAAGATGCCACGCCCCCTTTTCCAATAGTTACAATTTTTCTCCAAGAGTATGCGATTTATTTCGTACATCTCCATACAAAACTCTAGAACTCTACCAAAAAATTTCCAGAGTTAAGCAGAATGAAAAATTCGGTTTGTATGGGAGATGTCACACCCCTTTTTACAATAGCTAAAATTTTTCTCCAAGGGTATGCGATTGATTTCGTATATCTCCATACCATGCACACTTTCAGAGATATGTAGCATGAGAAATTCGGTTTGTATGGGAAGTGCCACGCCCCCTTTACATATAGATTTTTTTTTTCAGCCTAAAACCATCCTTGGGACACGTGCGGCAGGTGGCAGTTTCAAAAAAATCTGTTCAGCCGCTCTCGAGCCTTGCGAAAACTAACAAACGGCTTTCTAAATATATATTAGTTGAGATATATTATATATTATAATTATATTTTGACAGTATCCGTTGTTTCTGATTGGCGCAAAAAAATCTTGCCTAGTGACGAATTCGCCCCTTGATATGGTCGTTACTTAAAGCTATTTATATTCGAAATTGCATGAAAATTGGAAAACAGGAATCTATAAGCTTATCCAGGCAAAAAGCTACCTACGTACCGAATTTTAAGCAAATCGGACCGTAAATACGATTTTTTCGAATATATTAGTCCCTGGTCCACTTCTCGGCCAAAATGGATCATATATGCTAATATATGCTAAAAAGCTACCTGCGTACCGAATTTTAAGCAAATCGGACCGTAAATACGATTTTTTCGAATAGATCAGTCCCTGGTCCACTTCTCGGAAAAAATGGACCATATATCCTAATATATGCTAAAAAACTACTTACGTGCCGAATTTTAAGCAAATCAGACCATAAATGCGATTTTTTGGAATAGATCGGTCCCGGGTCCACTTCTCGGAAAAAATTGGTCACATATGCTAATACATGCTAAAAAGCTACCAGCGCACCGAATTTTAAGCAAATCGGACCGTAAATTCGATTTTTTCGAATAGATCGGTCCCTGCACCACTTCCCGGAAAAAATGGGTCATATATGCTAAAAAGCTACTTACGTACTAAATTTTATGCAAATCGGACTATAATAAGATTTTTTCGAATAGACCGGTCCCTGGTCCACCTACCCGAAAAAGTAACATTTTTTTAGCCTAAAACATGGTGGTTACCGAAAGCTATTTGTATACAAAATTTCATGAAAATCGGACCAGCCGTTCGCGAGATTACCTTTTACAAAAAAAAGGGACTTCTCTTTATATAATTAGTATAGATTAGTATAGATAGTCAGAGAATTTTAAAATACAAAATTACTGTAATCGTTTCTCACAGCAAAAATTAAGTGCTCTTCATAAGCACCTAACTAAATACAAAAGAGTTAAGAGAAAAAAATGTTTAAACTATACGAATAACAACAACAGCAAAACACCCACTTACAACTGTAAGAACAAACAAACAGCGAAGTAAATCGCAACAACAGCGAAAAGCAAAAATATAAAGCAGAGGAAAAAATTAATAAACAACAACATTGAGTATACATAAATATATGTATGTACATTTTGTAAACGTTAAATTGGGACAAGTCAAAGAAGGCAAGCAACAACAATCACAAGTTATAAGAGATATCTGGGCTAGCGGTCAAATACTTTCATTATGCAGTGAGTAAAGCTTGGAGGAATTACTTGGGATAAATTTTAACATACATACTTACATATGTAAAAGCTTTTTGTACATTTATGTATTTTTGTTTTTAACCTTTTTAACAGGTGAAATTTATTTGGGGTATTTTGTATCATTTTTTTACAGCTTTTAATTCATACTACTATACATACATACGTATATATAAACACAACATGGAGGCAATAGATATAAGCAGAATTAATTTAGTGTTAACATGCATTAAAAATATTGAAAGTTTTGATGGAACAGATCAAAACCAATTACCTGATTTCATATATCAAATTGAGAAAATTTTCGTAAAATGGATCAGCAAGTAGAACCAATGGAAATTGGAAATTCAAGCGTAAATTTTCCTACCCCTGCCGAGCGCGGTTACCCTACATAATTTTAAATAACCCCATAAAAAAATTAAAATTTATAATTGACACTGGGGCGGAATTTAGTTTAATAAGTCATGATATACATATGTCACCCCAAGTGGAAACAAAAAAAGTAAGTGTAGTAGCGAAAACTTTGTGAGCTGAAACATTTATAAATACAATTTGTAGATTTCCACTGTTTAAGGAATTTAATTTAAATCATTACTTTTGTGAATTCTTGGAGTGTGACTTTAATAAAAAATGATGATGGTCTAATTGGAAATAACATCTTAAAAGATTTGGACTGTGTAATTGACTTTCCAAATGGACTGTTAATAACAAAAAATGCTGTTTTGTCTCTATTTTTGTCTGAAGAAGAAGAAGATTGTACAATGAAATATCATATAAAAATAATATTATAGAAATATTCAACTGCGAAATTAACAAATATAATATACAAAATTTTATTAAAATAGATCATTTACAATTAAATGAAAAAGAAAAGCTTTTAATATTACTTAACAGATACAAAAATGTATTTTATGATAAAAATGATGACTTAACATTCACTAATGAAATAAAGCATAAAATTAGAACTAAACATGACATGCCAATCCATTCCAGGTTGTATAGGTACCCGGAAGTACATAAAGCAAAAGTCGATAAGCAAATCGCAGATATGCTAAAACAAGGTATTATTACAAATTCTAGCAGTCCATATAATAGTCCAATATGGGTTGTACTCAAAAAATTAGATGCAAATAATAAGCAAAATTGGCGTATAGTTATAGATTATCGCAAATTAAATGATATAACTGTAGAAGATAGATTCCCTATACCAAATATGGACGACATATTCGATAAGTTAGGAAAAAGTCAGTACTTCACCACCTTAGATTTGGCCAAAGGCTTCCACCAAGTAGAAATGCATCCTGACGATATCGCGAAAACGGCATTTTCGACATCTACTGGCCATTATGAGTTTTTACGAATGCCATTTGGGCTGCCAAAAACTCGCCAGCTACATTTCAACGAATGATTAACAATGTATTGAAGGAATACATTGGCTCAATCTGTTTGGTATATTTAGATGACGTGTTAATTTTTTCTGCTAGTATAGAAGAATATTTAGAATCCTTAGCTCTAAAATACTTAAACGATTTACTGAAGCCAATTTAAAGGTGCAATTGGACACAAGTGTACTTTTCTTAAAAGAGAGACAGAGTTTTTAGGGCATGTAGTTACTCCTGACGGTATAAAGCCGAATCCTGATTAAAGTTAAAACCATAGAAAACATAGTACTAC